AGTGATCGACTGCGATAGGGGTACAACCGTATCTCGGTCACCATGAAAGAATACAATCGGACAGTTTATCTGATCGATTTTGTTGACCGGTGAGCGTTGTTTGTATATGTGCTCCTCTTCTGGATACTTACCAATCAGCTGATCGTTATAACCGAGTTCAAATTTGTGCGTATCCTCAAAGAAGCGAACTTATTCGATTACATTCATCACATAGGTGCAATAAGAATCGTGATGAATATAAACCTTCGTTAAAGCGATCAGATCGCAGACACCGTAAAGTGAAGAAGCAGCTTTGATAAGCGATGAATTCTGGATGGTAGCAAGTAATAGATAGCCGCTTGCACTACTTCCCATCATACAAATGCGATCTTTATTCACAAATCTATTGTCGACCAAATACTGAGCTGCGTTTATCATGTCATCTCGGTCGACTAAACCCCACTTTTTCCTCAACGAATTGCGGAATTCAGTGCCAAATCCTGTAGATTGAATACTCCAAAAATAAATCTATTCGGAAACAGTTGTGATAACGTTCGAATAATTGTTATATCACTTCATTTCGTTGATGTTGTCACAAACAAAATAACGATAAAGTAATAACGAAACAAGAGAATACCCGTCGAACCGCGATAGTTCACATCAAAAACAGCGAATCCTCTCGATGTGAAATACTGTGTCTTCATATTCAATGATTCTGTGGCAGCACCCGTCGGTCCAGCGTGTGCGAACAGCACCACAGGAGGTAACGTTCCTTCAGCAGCTTTATATGAACTTGACTGCAATTGGCCGTTAAGGTTATACGATTGAAATGGTTAATTTGATCATTTCACATGCTAAAAGACTCACAAACGGTGGGTAGAACCATCCACTGACAGTACAGTCGCCAGAAGGAAATTTAACGAGAGTTGGTATCGATATGTCAAGCTTATCGATTTCTTTCGCATCTCTCGATTCTCTTATCACTGTGACCTGAAACTCTGACTGCTAACTGTATCAATTATCATCGACAATAAGAGTAATGCTCTTGATAACAATACCTTTTTGCTCTGAATATCAATTCGAATAACAGAGGAAGATCTCCTCGGTCCAGATGCGATGCAATATCCAATATTTTGATTATTCAAGTCGAGTGATCTAAACTCAGTATATAAAGGTGTTTCGATGTGTTCAAGTGTACCATTCCACCACTTGAACACCAATTTACCTGATACATTCATCAGTATGCCTGAAAGTATTATTTGTTTACTTCATAAAATGCAGTTTGGAACTGAATTTGATAGAATTC